CAATCTCATTATTCAGCTAAAAGGGTCAGGCTTAGTGAAACACTTTTAGACTAAGTCCATTTTACACATACAATAAAAATACAATATAAACACCCAAAATCAAACAACTTTCTACAACATTCAAGTACCATTCAAACATATATTTCCAAACAAGAAACATATAATAATACTCTCATGAGCATAAAATATATACTATGTTATAATAACAAAATAGAGTTCTCCTTACCTTAAAATGAAGATTTAGAAAGAAGATTTGTGAAGAATATCATTCAAAAAACAGAGCTCTTCCTAAACATTACAAAATAGGATAATTTTGAGAAAGTAGAAAACGAAGGGAGAAAAAAACCAGAGATTGGAGAATTGAGCTTTAAGAAAGTTACTTGGAGTTGATCAGATTGAATGTCCAAGTCTGGATTAAAGGAATGATCGAGATTTAAGGGAGGTTTCTCTAAGGAAAGGAAGTGAAAGATTAGAGAGGAAATGAGAAAAAATGTAACTTAGATTATAATACAAGTTTTCTGGTTGGAAATTCCTTAAATACTCCTCAAATTCACACGCTCTTGCTTGAGCGAGGTACCATCTCGGCTGGACAAAAATATCAGATAGTGATTTTCTAGGCTTTTTTTGATATTCTCGCTTGAGCGAGAAGGGGTTCAAAGAGCTACTCATTTTTCCTACGATTCTTTGTAAGAGCCTGACAACTTATTCAGGACTGACGACTGTCCCTACAAATCAACATGAGACTTTTCAGCGTGCTTTGTTCTCACTCACACACTTCCTGGAAACTTCCCAGAAGGTCACCCATCCCATAATTGCTCCAAGTTAAGCAAGCTTAACTTTTGAGTTCTTAAGTGATAGACCACCGAAAAGTAAATGCATTTTGTTTGTATAGGTAGTCCTAATCAATTCCTTTAAGCTATCCTTAATTGTATACACAGTCTCTAGATCCCCCTCTCATTCCGATGTAAGTTCAATTTATTCATGTACCCCTTACCGCCGGAAGCCTGCTAGGTAGCCGCTCCTTATTCGTGCCACATTGCACCGGCGATCACTCCCCGCCCTCGCCTAGCGCCTGGGTGTCACATGCCCACCAGCTTCCACGTGATTCGTCCTCGAACCACACCGTACTAGGAGAGAGGCCTGCTCTGATACCATTATTGCGCCTGACAACTTATTTGGGATTGACGACTATCCTACAAACCAACACGAAACTTTTCAGCGTGCTTTGACCACCGAAAAGTAAATGTATTTTGTTTGTATAAGTAGTCCTAATCAATTCCTTTAAGCTATCATTAACTGTATACACAGTCTTTGGATCTCCCTCTCATTCTGATGTAAGTTCGATTCATTCATGTGCCCCATACCGCCGGAAGCCTGCCAGGTAGCCGCTCCTTGTCCGTGCCACATTGCACGAGCGATCACTCCCCGCCCTCACCTAATGCCTGGGTGTCACATTCTTTACGTAAATGAGCCCAACTAGCCTGAGCGAGAGGACAGTTGGGACAACTTTATCCTATTTCGTTAGGCGAGACTCATCTCGATTGAGCAAGAATGTTCTGAAATCACTTGGTCTAAAACGCTCAATCTTGCTGACTTGAGCGGAACTCCTTGCAGCAAACTTCATTCAATAATTTTAAATTAAAACAAAATTTAATATTAATTAATATCAAATAAACAATTAAGAAAAAAAGGGTGTTACGCGTCTTTTATTAGAGTTCTTGTTGGATAGCAGCATCGCAGCGCCACCAACGCAGAACAAGCAATTGGGTATCAACATCGTTCCAAAGTACCAATTTTGGGTTATGTTCTCTGTGCTCACCATAATTGCTTAAGTGTTGTTGTGAAACGAACCATGTCTTTAGCAAGATCAATGGTTATTATACCTGCATTGCAACCTATGCCTCCAAAATTTAAGCTCTTAATGTTTCCCCTCAACTTGTTCTTGTTCACAATCATGGTTGAAAGCAAAGTCATGGGGTTGAACAAGTTTCAAAACTAAATAATAAATTTTGAAATTTGGATTTACGCTTTGAAATTTGAATCTACATTAAACTCCATAAGAAGAGAGCAAGATAGTAAAGAAGTGTAAGATAGTAAAGAATGAGAAGTAAAATGCTTCAAACACATGTGAGAGAATGAAAATGTGACAAGACAAGACATGCAAAAGAAAGACATGATATACAAATGCAGAAGTGAGAATAATAATAATGACAAAAATAATAAAAATAGAGCAAACAATTACATAATATATAAAAATAAAGTTAATAATTATAATTTATAAATTGAAATTTTGAATTAAAAAATATTAATTTTAATTATATTAAAATTATATAAAATTAGACTTTAAAAATATGGCTTATGTTTTAAAAACTATTAAACATCATAATTATGAATACTAGATCAAATTTCAATTCTAAACCTTAATTTCAATCCTCAATTTTATTTTTAATTTTATACACTAAACAATCGGTAAAGATGTTATTCTTCAATTGCCTTTCACAATAATTGGTATTGTTTGTTGCACTTCATGATTTTTTCCTTGTTGATAAACTGATATAATCAACGATAGTATTATTTATAGATAAGAAAAATCGGTACTATCATATTGTTATGATAGCTTGGGTACTATGAAAAAAAATGCTTTATTGTTGCCTCTATCAGACTATCACGACTGTTGCAAATTTTGTTCTTATTTCAAAGCAACGTCATTATTACTCTCATTATCTATCCGTTTCTTATGTTTTTTATTCTTTCAAGAGTGTCATAGTTTCCCTTGTTAGTATTTTTTTACCCAGCCAATTACAAAGAAAAAACTGTTTTTTTAAAAGATTCCTCTAAATTAATTTTGTTTTCTATTTGTTTTTTGTTACTTATAGGATTGTTTCTAATTTATAGTACAACATGATTTAATTCACTAATATTAAAGGTTGAATGTATCTTTAATTACTTGTTTACTTTAGAGATAAATTAACTAAATCCTTTTTTTAATTTTAATTCCAAAACTAATGTTCTTTCTTTTTAGTTCGCAGATCATGACAAAACCAATGCATGTTGCTAATTATATTTTATATATAATTAAGTATAATTGTATTTCTAACTACAACTATGCTTGTTGATAAATGTTTTTTATGTTTAATCCGATAATGCAATTCATGAGTAATGATTGGGATTTTGAGTTAACCATTGTGAGAATTTATTATTAATTAGATTGTTATTCATGTTTTCAGGGAGAATGAACAAGAAGTGGGAGCTTTAGAAGATTAATGAGTAAAAAAAGGAAGTAATATCAACTTATTTTAAAGATTTACAAAACTAGAGATCTATACGGAAAAGTACACGCTTGTGTATATGTTTGTGTACTTATCGGATCATGTAAATTAAGTAAAGTATTTGAATCAAAGATACACACGGTCAAGTGCATGACCGTGTAAATGAGCATGAAGTTCAAAAAAGTTTAAAAGGAGTGAATATTTAAGAAATCAGAGATGTATACGGTCAATTGAGTTGTTTTAATTGTTGGTTGATAATTCAGTTTATGTTCTATTTTATTTTCATGTTCTGGTTTTGAGGTATGAATTGATCATTGTTCATGTGAAAAGACTTAAATGCAACTCTAGAGATAGAATGACATAAATCTTTTGTATTAGTAATTATAACTATGCTTGTGATTCTATCGATGTTTAATTATCTCCACATAGATATTTTTCAGTCAAAATTTGGTAACTACCGCATGCAATTTTGATTTATTAAACATGTTTGCATTCACACTGGTCACAGTTTGGTAATGATGCTATTTTTATAAATTCAACCATTGAATTATGACAGCTTATAATTTTATATCGATAACTTGGTATGTTTGATCAACGTCATGTATTTCATATCGAAAGAAAATGTAACGTAGAAGAAATTGTTGATTATACAAGCCTTCATTCCGAAGTTTCAATGCCTAAGATTATAAATATAATTCATGAGTTTATATGAAAACAAGTTTTCATATATTTTGGAGTTTGGACAATGAGGTATATTGTGATAACCTCCATATATAGATATTAAAGGCTTGACCACATCAAGCTACTCCTGTTCCCACTGTTGACCAAGCTGAAAAAACCATTTATTAAAGCTCTACACGGGTTTAACTATTCTTGAATGGATCGAAGATGGTTGATATAGGCATATTAATGATGCATACACCTAGTGAGAGATAGAAAAGAAAAGAGAGATAAGTGAAAGATGTAACCAGTGATGTAAACATCATAAGTCTTCTTGAATTATTACACGTGATTTAATTTCCTCTCTTAAATTTTAGTGGAAACTCAAAGCTGTGACTTTATATAATTAGTCTAGCGTGATCCATTACACTTTTACAACTAAAACCCAGCCCATAACTGTTTGAATATGTTATTTCAACAATATTTTTTTAATAAACATTATTTCTAAATCTTTCTATTACATCACCCATCTTATCTACACTTCTCTCTTCTTTGTATCTCACTCCTTGACATAGAAATTATTGTGAAAAAGCAATGATGAAATAAGCATTACTCTAACTATTTTACAATATCCGTTAATATCATTTTGAGCAGAAGTATTTTAGAGGGAAAAACCAAGACAAAATTTTAATTTTTAATTTTTAATAACAAAATGTATAAAGTGATAGATTATAATAAACTTAAAATATTAATTATTTATTTATTATCATACAGTATATAATTCTATTAATTTAAAAATAAAAAAATTACTTTCTCATTTTTCTTCAAAAATTGTCTCCCAAACAATCTTTTAGATGTATGTTGGCAATACGTTAATGCAAATCGATGGATATGATAAGACAATACAAGTGTTACACCAAATACAGATACTTAATACAATTTGAAAGCAAAGATTATGGAATCAATAATATGAACAACCACAACTTTAGTATTGCAACCCCAAAAACAAAAATGCTTCTCATACGTAGAGGAGGCTGTCTAGTTTGTTGTAATTAGTAGTACAATCCGGGCATTCTCAAAGCAAAATTTTTACCATGTTATACAATTACCTTGGTAAAACGTTTGATACTGTTACCTCATTAACAGAAGCATCCTTGGAAGCTTTTGATGTTGATTCTTCTTCCTTGATCTTTCTTCCAACTGAAAATGCAGGATGATTAGGACTGGGAAGAGTCATTGTGTCACTTGCTAGCATGACAACAACAGTGGACATGGTTGGTCTGTCTGTTGCATCTTCCTGTACACACAACAAACCAATGTGTATGCACTTCATAACTTCACTGGCTTTGTATGTCTTTTCCAGTATTGGATCTAATAGTTCCAAACTTTTTCCTTCACACCAGAGTCTCCAACTCTGCATGAAAATATGAAAATGTCAAGAAATTCTAGTTGAATCACATGCATATCTCTTTTGTAATATCAATATCTTAGTTATATGATAGAAGGAAAACTCACATATACAAGAAGACTTTGACCATGTTCTGAGAGATAGAATCCACTATTCCTTTTCCCACAAATGATTTCTAATAGAAGAACTCCAAAGCTGAAAACATCAGATTTTGCTGAATATAACCCTTCCATAGCATATTCTGGAGCCATATATCCACTGTTTAAAATCAATAGAACACTATTAGTTAGTAATTGTATCACATTTTGTGATCTATTATATATTAATGTGTCATGATTAGAAAGGATTGCCACTAGCACATACTAGGTGCCCATGACTCTATTTGTGTTTTCCTGACTTTGGCCCTTCTCAAATGTCCTTGCTAATCCAAAATCTGATATTTTTGGATTCATCTCTTGATCCAGAAGCACATTGCTGGCTTTCAGATCTCTATGGATCACTCTAAGTCTAGAATCTTCATGAAGGTATAGAAGTCCTTTTGCAATTCCATGGATAATACTCAGCCTTAATTTCCAATCTAGTTGCTTTCGCTTTTCCTCATCTGACATAAAAAGTGATAGATGAAGTATTTTTAACACTGGACTATATGGACCAAAAAAAAAAAAAAACTAGAACTTTTATTTTTGGCAAAATGCTATTACCTTATTGAATGTAATGATTAAATTTAATTTCCTAAATGTAAGATGTGCCAGTAGCAATATTTGAAAGCTGTCAAATTATAAATTGTTCTTGTTCTGTTTCATAATATGTTTGGTTCTTCTGTGAAATGTATAGAAAGAATTGTTACTTATCGAAAATTCAATTTTGGCAATAAATTTATCCCTCCAAACTCCTACCACATAGAAATACCTTCCTAGATTCTAATCGCTAAGACTTGTGTAAATAATAAGCTGAAGCGATAAAATTAAAAACAAATGAAATGAAAAAATAAGGGCAGGTAGTGATAACATACTGAACAGGAGAGAGTCAAGGCCAGAATTTGGCATGTACTCATATACAAGCAGCTTTTCATTTTCCTCAATGCAGCAACCCAAGAGTCTCACAAGGTTCCTATGTTGGAGTTTAGCTATGAAGATTACTTCATTCTTGAACTCCTCTAAACCTTGACCAGATGTTTTTGAGAGTCTTTTGACGGCAATTTCTGTTCCATCTTCTAAATTACCCTACAATAAAATGTTTTCAAAGACTACAAATAAGTATGGCAACTTAAAAACAAAGCAAAATTAAACATAGATAGCTTTCACGCACATCCAAAATTCAATTGACACCTTATAAACAGGACCAAATCCACCTTCTCCTAGTTTGCAAAACTCTGAAAAGTTATTTGTGCTCTGACGAATCCAAATTAAGGGGATTGTAGGAAGATCTGCATTCAGTGTATCCTCTCTTTGAATATGATCATGAAGAGATATAGGAGTGGTCTCTGATAGCAGTCCATCTACAAAGAAAACTTGCTAGTTTGTTATTTTTGCTTATTGCCATAGGTGAGTACTTTCAGCATGTGTATGTAATGGTTATTAGTTATTACCTTTTTTTGATGGATACCTCTTCCACAAGAAGTAGATACAGAAACTTATTAGAGTTAGTGCCACCAACACACTCACTATGGCGATTATCAAGGTTTTTGAATTACTTGAACCTCCTTGCTTGGCTGCAAGTGAAACAATGGCAAATATGAACATGTCACATTTCTTTTCTCTTATGTTCTTAACAGTTTCATTATCTGAAGGACTAAAATTGACACTGTATGTAGTACTGTATATAATTATTTGTATCTCTCACTTACCTTTTATCTTTTCTAAATACACACATCCCAAAAATACACCAAAAAACACAAAGAAAGGAAGGCCTAAAGGTTTCGTCAAAACACATTTTTAAGGAAGTTCCTAATTAATTAACAAATTTTGCTAATGCACTGTATTTTGTAACCCAAAAAAGGACTTACAGTTAACCAATTCTTCATAAATTAATTAACAAATTTTGCAAATGCACTGTTTTTTATAACCCAGAAAAAAACAAAAGAAATTTGTGGCTGCTGATTGCTCATATTTTAAATCTCCTTCTCTGGAGCCTGAATCACCTTTTGAATAAATGACATGACCTTGGTCCTGATTCACTGTGTCCATGGTTTTTTATTATATGATCTTGGAGGCCTGAAAAATTGTAGTGTTAACAGAAATATTGTCTTATATGCTTGATATTTCTACATGGAAGCCTATTCCCAAAAATTGAAACCGCAGCAGGATGTTGGGTGTTAGAACAAGCACTATAGAGCTTAGAAAAGATATTAGAAAACAAGTGCATTAACTCAAATGTTTTGAAAAGAATATTCTTAATGTAACTTCAAACTGTAATTAATTTGAGAAATCAAAGAGAGTAAGAGAAGTTGAGTTGTGACAAAAAGAAAAGAATTAAATCACAAGGTGTCACATAAATCAAAATGCTTATGTGACAAATAGGACTTAAATTAAAATGATGTCCTAAATGTTGGTGAGCCTGTTTACCTTAATCAGGAATCTCAAATGTTTTCTTAACGAATTGTTCGGTTACCGATGAAAGAAATGACTAGTTTGGCAAATTTAAAATGAAACAAACAATTAATGAAGATATAAATATCAATTTCATTTTTACTTTAAACAAACCATTATTTTGAAAAATAATTTCATGCCAAAGGTGTCATAAATGTAATGAAGTTACAAATTAAGTAATATAAACTACAAACTAAATATTAAAATTACATTAATAAAAGTATCAACTTTTATTATTATAATTTTAAAAACTGACCTGATTGAACTTTATAATAGAAAGAACTCTAAATATTTGTGTTATCTTTATAATGTGAGCAAAATATAAACAAAATTAACGTAATCAAGGATCAAATTATACACAACACTTTTAGGACCAATTAGTTTCCAGAAAAGACCAAAATATAAGCAAGTTAACACATTCAAATACTAAATTGTACGAAGCAAAACTTTCAAACATCAAAGACAAACAGAGTGCTGTTTTCAGTAGCCAATTTATGTATTTACTCGTTATCGTTACTAACTATAAAGCAACTCAGGAAGCAATTATAAAGCACATACAGACTGCAGTGTGTAAGATGGAACCAACCAAGAAAACCAAAATGGTAAGTATGCCAAAAAGTTGAATAAGTAATACTAATATATAATACAATACACATTGTATGTACCTGGATTAGGCAAAGGAGAAGATGTTTGACTAATAATCTGGTAGAAGATAAAATCATCATACTTTATAAGACAATTTGGAGACAAAACTTGCCATCCTATCTTTGTCCCACAACATTGAGGAACTTTGTCTATCATGGCCTCCAAACACTGGCTGCACTCATCACTAGTAATGTCTCTACTGCACTGCACCAACCCAAACCTTTCCTCAGAATTACTCAAATTGAACCCTCCCATTGCATACAACTTGTTGGTATCCACAGTAGCTTTTCTTCTCAAACTTTGCATAAAATCCTCAGCTTTCTGAAGCTCTTTTGGATCAGTGGCGTTCTTGGACCCCGGAATTGTCCATGATGAGGTTGTGTTAAGTTTCCCTATGAAATCATGGTTTGAGTACCTTAAAATACAGTAGCTGTACCATATAACTGCTGAGGATCTGTTTGGACAGCGTTGAAGGATTTCTGAGGCTGCAGTGGAGACACAAAACTGGCAGAAAGTTCCTGTGACATCACCCCTGCAATCATAGAGGCCATACACGACATCAACTGTGCCACTTCCTATGGTTGTGTGGTTGTATCCCTTGCTTGTGGCAGCATCTGAGGAGAGCCATGTGAGGGTGTTCCGAAGGTTGGTTTGGTATGTTGAGGTGAGGGCATGTTCTGTTGAGTTCTGGCAGTCATCACCCACATAGTATGGGGATTGTGCATTTGATGGGGTGAAGAGTATCATGAAGCCAAGAAATCTTAGGATTTTAATGAGTACTTTTGTTGCCATTGTTATGGGGTAATGAAATGTTAGGCATAGCAATATGTTATAGTAGAATTCAGTGTCCTGGGACCATAAGAAATTATTTTATAACTTGATTGTGACCACCGAATGTTCATAGTCTAGACCAATCTTCACACTATATGCTGTGATCATTTCTCATGATTTGAAAAAATTAAGTATATAAGACAGGAGAAATGGTTGAAATAATGGACATGGGGTTTTCAATTATGCAATAATCTCTTCTAGGAAGGGTTGTGTATGGGGAGGAAAATAGGATATATTAATGCATATGTGTTGAAGTCAATTGCTTGGAGATTGTGCCAACTAGAGAAAACGCCACTTAGAATTTAAAATCACATAGTTGAAGAAGCCGACCAGTGTGGTATGATTACTTCTGTCTAACACATTTGAATAACAATAATGATAATAATTTTGAAGTCGATGAATCTGCTGTTGATTTAGCTTGAAATCTTATTGATTAGAAAAGTCATATTTGTACTTCATTTCACTTTAATCTTCACATTTCATATTAAGATATTGCACAAAACTAAGATGAGGTATGACATGGTTGAAAGTCTGAATTTATCTAGATGAACTTCATTTGTAGTTTAGGGAATTCTTTTCAATAATATATATAATGTTTGGATCTTCAATAACAAGAAAAGGGTTCCACTATTGACAACCATCATATATGTAACGATAATGGTTAAAAAATCAATAAATGTGTTCAACATTTTAATATGCTTCTCTTGGATGTCTAATCTGTCTATTTATTATTTGTTGTTAGATAATAAATTCCCACGTTAATAAGTTAGTAACAAATTAAAGAATATATAAGCTGGAGTTTATCTGTATCGATATATATATATATATATATATATATATATATATATATATATTATAAATTTACAATTTATTCATGAGAAAGTTTGGTGAGGTGTCAAATTTTTTATGAAATGACTTCTACACTTTATTTAGATTTTACTTTTAGAAATCATAATAAACTAGTCACTTTCTGTGTATTGCGTAAGTATTATTAAATTTTTTTAAAAATAAATAATTAAAATTATGTTATATAATTATTTTAAGTATTATAATTAACAATTAATAAATAATATCTATTATATTAAATAAAATTAAAATTATACAAGTGTCAATTTCGAAACAGTTAGTTTTCTTCCAAAATTTCAACATTTATGACTAATTAGATAATTTATTTTCTTTTTTATTTTTATATTTCTAATTGTTTTTAATTGTCTTTCGGATTTTCAATACTCTCTCTTCATTTATTAGTTAGTCGTTACTCCTTCAAATTCAATTTTTAGAATCTTGGTGGCAGCATAATATTCATTTAGTTCTCTCCAAAACTCAACCTTCTAGATGGATCAATAATTTTCTAATTATTACCTAATTAATTAATAAAACCAAAACTTGGAAACTAAATCTTATAATTTTAATTAATAAACCCTAATAATTTAAACGATTCCCATAATATTTTGTTTATAAAATCACAATATTAATCTGACTTAAATGCAACGAAAATTAAGTATTGAATTTATGTTAATACTACCAGGTTATATAACGTTGTATAAAAATACATGGGGAAACAAATTTTATATTAATCTCAAATCGCATAAAGAAACGCGTGTATTAATTAAAAGCACTCAACTATCCATGAAAATTATGAAATTAAATTTAAAATTATAATTTAGTCATTGGATGATCCTGACAAAAAAAAGTTTGAATCGTAAATGACAAAACGAGTAGTTCAAAATATTTATTATGTGATTGTGTAATCAATAGTCAACTAATTAGTTAACAACAAATAGTAAAACAGTGTTAACCAAAGCATTGGAAGCAAATTGAAACAAAACAAACATAAGTAATCAACATTAAGAACCTTAGTGAATGCAGAATGTAGTAACCAATAATAAAATAGGCATGAATATAATAAAGTTTGATGAAACGATTTGTGATCGACTACTTTCAAACGGTTTGTTTACGTTTGAAAGACCCATTAATCCTAAAATTTTGTAATTTTAAAACTTTACTTGACACATCTAGAAAAAAGTAAACTGAAGATAACCCACTTGACAACCACAATTGTGACATGATCGCTAAATGGGTCAATAAATTTTTAATTTATATTGGTCACTGATTTAGCCCTACAATTCAATGATTATTTCGATTGTTGACTTAATTATAAATTTTAGTGACTCATTTTAGTCATATAATTCGGTCACTGATTTGGCGTTTATTTATCTTAAAATGACTTTCGGTAATTCAGTTTCTAACTTTAAATTAAAATCAATAGCTATTTCAGTTGCTATCAAAATTCTGTTGTTGGTCAAAATTTCAACTGCTAATGGAATTGATCAAATTTTTTAATTTCTTTTATTTTGGATTAAATAAAACATATTTATAGATATAAAAAAGCTTAAAATCACAATCATGATAAAAAAAAATGCAATAGATATTCATAAAAATATCTTATTATTTGAATTATAAATTAAACTGTAAAGATAAATATTTACACTATACAAAAAAATTTAAATGAATGTATACTAATATTTAAATAATAAAATTAAATATTTTTTTGTTACATTAAAGAATTAATATTTATATCAGCATGAAAGCATATTTATTTTTAAATAATATAACTAAACGTTTTGTTACTCCTTCTATTTTTTTTATTTGTGATTGTTTAAAAAATGTTTTGTTCCATTTTATCTGTTAATTTCTATAAGTTTAAAACAATATTTATTAGTCTTTTTCTATTATACCTTGCCTTTTACAAAATTTTTAATTATTTTATATAGAGGAATATTAGCAATTTACTCTTTTAAAATATGTTATCGGTTAAAATTTATTTAAAAATATAAAAGTGTGAGAGAGACATTAATTAAGAGTATAAAAAATGAAACTTATATAATTTTTATAATTTTTAATAAATTAATATTAAAAAATGGAGAGAATGTGTTCTTAATGAATCCAGATCCTCTTCGATTTTAGAGTAAACATTACAGTTTATTTAGACATTCATTTTAGCAAGTTTGAACTTGCTTCAAGGAAATTGAACAATATTTACTTAAGTGAGAAAATTTAAGTTAAGCAAGACTAAACATATCATCAGTTTTGGTTGCTTAAGCGCGTCCAAGCAAATTTAACTAAAGTTAAATGAAAAAAGGATAGAGAGCTTTGGATTGAAAAACTACATTTGACTTAAGTGAAATTTTATATGCTTAAACAAAATAAAATTTGCTTAAGCCAACTCAAAAAGAATGAAGCGAAAAAATGTAAAAAATGTGATTATTATGCAGAAACAAAAAACATGCAAGATAACATATTCAATTCATTGAAATACAAGGAATATTTTGGATAAATTGACCAATCCATTAATGAAAGTAGCATATCATAAACATAACTTTAGTGTTCAAAATAAGAAAGTACAAAGTGTAATCCATTATAAAACATCAAATGTTTGAAACTTAAAACGACAAATGTAATTCATAAAACTAATTAAAAATAAATAATGTTTATAGCATTGTCCAATGTAAAATTCAAGTGTTTGAAGTGATCATGTATGGCACAAACTCCTTGTCATCCATAGGCGAACTTAATCTCTCATTATTTGTAGCATGATCCTCATCATGTATCCTTTCTTTTCCTAGTTTTTCACCTTATACTCCATCCCTTAGTTGATGACAATCATGGTCCTCCTAAGCTCCATCCTCTAGCTCTACTAAATGATCTTCTTTATGAGTTTGAAAGGTATGGTTGTTTCTATGTCATGATACAACTACTGTAAAAGTCTATTGGTGTCAGCAATAGGAAAGTATATGTCTCTCCATGAGGTTGGTATAATGTCAATCTATGGAAGGGGAAGATGAATCAATTATATATAAGATAACTTGTAGAAAGACTGATTAAATTGCGTGTACGCCCAATGGTTTACTATCATTTGTGCTTTGTGAGTGAGATGACTTTCAAATGATGACACTGGTAATTGTGATGGTCAAGCTTTAGGTGTTGTTGACAAGAAAGGTTGAGAAGAAGGTCCAACAAGTTATTCCAATAGATTAGTGTAGTAATTTTATAAGAAATGGACATTGGTGGGTTTCTTCAATTTGATAATTGATTTCATACCTCTTATTTATATATCTAACTTGAAAGATATATTTATGTGAAGAATTTTAATTTTTTTATTATTTAAATAAATCCACCATAAAATATATATAAAAAAAATCAATTCAACCCACTTTTTTTTTTTAATTATACTTTTCAAATAAGATAATATAAGGTATTTATTTTATTCTCTTTATATATGTCAAATATAAATTAGAATAGAAACTTATCTTACTCTTATTCTATTTTGCTCTTATCAAATTTTTATAAATTAAAATTAAAAAATATCAATTTTGTTAACTTTAGTTTCTAAGTTGAGTTCAAACATCTAAAAATAATAATTTTTTAATTAAAAATAACATATATTATACTTTTTTATTCTCAAGATTATAAATATTTTATTTTCTGATAAAAAGTTACTACTTTTAGTTAGTTATTTTCAATCAACACTTTAAAATTGAGACTAACAATTTTCAAAATATGCTAATCTATTTTTAATATTTATTTTTTAATTTTTAATTAGTATTTTAAATACTGCTTATTTAATATTTATGTATTTTAATTTATATGAGACAAATCTTACCTAATCAATTAACTCGAGGCTTTGTTGGGTTATCAAGCTATGCTGCCGATGGGTTTCCTACCAAGGGCAATAATGTAACTTACTTGCTCTATGAATGTTATCATAATTTTAAGCAATGAATTATTAAAAACACATTCCTTAAATAAAATTGGCGCTGCAAGAAGGTCTTTCTTTTTCTTGAGAGAAGCCAAAAAAGGCGTTGCTAGAGTTTCTTTTCCTGGTCGCCTTGTGGCTTGTGAGGGTCGTGAGGCCTTTGCGCTTTGGGTCCTTTGCTACAAGGTTTGAGAGGGGGTTTTGCTCTATACGTATTATACTTTTATTTCTGAATAAATTTAATTATATCT